ATAGGTGCGCTCGTAATGAGAAGAGCAAAGCAGGTCCAATTGTTTACTGCAATCTTGGCAAGAATCCGCATTGTGACTTCTTTGATTTGGTTTCGTTCCACATTTTACTTCGCCTAGCATCCAAGTTTGTGACTGGTTTTGGTCTCCATGCTTTGATCTGGTCGCAAGGCTCAAATCAGATCAATTCCCACCGAGAGGGTCATCCAAGTAAGGCTGTTGCTTGGCCTGCCAGCGATCATGCATTTTGATACGTTCTTTGGCGCCATCGCATCTCAGAAATGTTCAGCTGCAGTGTCCACCACAATCATCACTGCTTCGAGTCTTGGTGAGCGACAATGCAGCAAGCGCTGTGTCCACCTGTTTTTGTTTGTTGGGGTGACAAGACCATGGAGTACGGGGTCAGCACTTGATCAAATGCACGCACTGTTGTAGGTACCAGTGTCAAATAGATGTTCCCTTACTATCTTGGAACCTAAGCCTGTTTGGTGCCTGGGGGCCACAAACTGGGGGCCCAGACGGCTAAACTTGGCAGATCCGAAGGGCCTGGAAGGCCTGAGAACGGAAAGAAACCCATGAGGCCGGTTCCTTTTTGTGATTTGCGATTTCCTCTTTTACCCCCAAAGTGCTGGGTTTTTAATCGGCGATAAACTTCATGCGGCTTGCGCACTGGCATCTTAGGAACATGCTGCTGGGTTATGGCCTGGACTATGTGCTGTACAAGCATTTGTTGAAACTGTCAACTTTAGTGGGTGCCACTCTGATCTTCCTGGCAGTGGTTGCTATGCTGCTGGCAGGGAGAATCGATGTGGCTACGGGCACCAAAGCGAGCTCTCAACATTTGGAGTTGGAGGAAAACCAGGAGTTGGGTGTTGATTCTGTTGCTCACTGATGGATGGTGGACACTCTTTTTGCTTAATTACCACAAGTGCCAAATGGTGCTTGGCTTGGTCCCTCCAGTTAATGGGGGCGGCAATTGGGGACCTTGAGCAACCCGAATTGTTAATTTTTGAGTACTGAAGCACAGGATAAAGGAGCCGCGAGCAACTGCTTGTTCTTCGCTCAAACTCGGCAAGATGACCGGTGACACACAACGTTCGGGTGGAGTTGTGTAAGTCTATCATGTCTTTCAGTACGAAACGGCTGGCGTTCTTGGAGTTCTTTGCGCATTGAAGGCAATATCGTGATTGAACGGTTCAGTGCTGCGTTTCAAGCATGTTGCTTGATGACAAAGAGTGCTCGGTTTAGGCAACGTGGCAGAACCAATCTGTGCAAACCAAACGGTGTCCGCTCACGCAGTGGCGGGCTGGCCGAGAAGGGTGCAATGGCGAACGGGAGAAAGCTTGGTTTTGAGCGAAACATCTACACAGTGTGTCGCGAAAGCTCGGAAGGTTTGTGGAAGCGGCGCGGAAGCAAACTTGCTGACCGGTTACCCGTTTCCAGTCCAGCACCCCGCGCAACGGACCGGCGCCGCACGTTTGACGTCCAATCCCCAGCCGTTGCCTGAACCCGCCTTGGAGCACCTGGCCGCGGAGTGAGGTCTGAAGGGTTTCACAGGTCGGAGTTCCAATTGACTCGCAAGGGAGTAAAACAAACACACCACCCACTTGGAGTTCTAGCACTCCGGGGTAAGAGGAATTTAGTGCGGCGCACCGCGCGCTATCCCCTGCAAAGCGAGAAGGACCCTAGAGGTTAAAAACGACGGTTGACACTTGATATGAGAAAGCGAAAGCGCCGCAGCCGCATAAGGCGCTGGACCCACGCATCAATGTCCCTTGTTCTGTGGAAGGGGTTGCAGACGACATGTGAGACCAACGGCTGCTGGAAGACCGTGGCCCGGTGCACTTCCCTGTCAAAGTTTCGATGTTTGATCCACAGGTGGCGACGTGTGCTTTTTGTACTACACTGTTACTGTAAAGTTGCGCTATTCGAGCTGCAGCTGTCAAAATGTACTTTGTGCGTGACACTTGCGCTGAACAGTTGTTATCTCGGAGTTGGAGCTGCCAACGCGTTCTGTGTTTGTACTGAAACAAGCCATTGCCTCTAAACATCAAAAATATTGTAAAACGATAAGAAGTAGAACGCGCATAGGAACCCGAATTGTGTCACACGGTTCGTGACCTCTTTGTTACACCGCTCCTCTTGACGTTAAAACTGGAAAGCTGATGCATGTTCGCTCTTTTGAAGTGGTTACGGCCAGACTGGCACATCTGAAAAAGAGCTCAAGTGGAAGCGTCAGAGCCAAGGTTTAAGGCCAGCTGATGTTGACACAACCCTGTCAGGAAATTGACGCATCGAACCTGCTGTTGAAGAACAGCCTGCGCAACGATGAAGTCTGAGCACGCCATGATTTGTCGTGCTTATCCGGCGCAGCGCACGGTGTACCATGCTTTTCTGCGTGCCACGCGCGCTGCACACCAAGATATGTGTTTTGCGAATATGATGTTCAGCGAACAACAAACGTTGTTCAGCTCTTTTTCGACGGGCAGACCCTCTCCTCGGTCCGATCGTGTCAAATGACATGAGATGCTCAAGAAGTGGCACTCGTCGTTAGAGATGTTACTTATATTAGGATTCAAATTCACGCCAATCCAGAAAGTCGAAGTCTCACCCGTGGTAATGTTGTTGGAACGCCAGCTGGTGTTCACGTCAGCCAGTAACCTGCTGACGTGCCAGCCGGAACGGCCAATTCAGCCCCTCTCCTGGCGACCTTGGAGGGCAGGCGAACAATGGAGCCCGCCTGCGGATGCACCACGGGGCAACGAGATGAATTCAACGTACCAACGGATATAACTGATTCACTGGCAACCCTTTGCTTGGGACATTTCTGGCTATCAAAGGACCATAGTGGAGATGTTCTGGTGAAACTGCAAACCTTGCATCGGTTGGAGCGCTTTCCGCCGTGCCTATAGTCGCAGGTTAACGAACCAGCACAAGCATTGCGTGCAAACATTAGGGTCTTGGGGAGAAGCATGAGGATGTCACTCATAGGCCTGTTTGATCCGAGAAGCACAAACGTTGGAGCACGTTGACCTATTGGCGCCTTTTCCCTCAAACCATGGCAAGCTTTCATGGGGAAGGTGTTGCAACAATTCGAGCCCATGCGCCAATGATTGTTGTTCCATGTTTTTTTGCTGCGGAACTCAAGTCGTTTGGGCAAAGTTGATGGCTTTGTTTTCCATGGCTACAGAACGCGCGGATCGGTTTAAAGATCTTGGCCAATTCGCAGACTTTGCATTGCCGAGGTGTCTTTGCAGAACCGAGACAAAGTGGTGAAAACGTTGCACGAGTTGAACAGCAAGGCCATCCAAGGAGAACGTCAAGACGCCGCACTGCGACTTTTGAAGCCCATGAGGGTGTGACATAAAATTTGGCCCCCTGATCCGGGCGGCTTATCTTGACAAGGGTCCTAGAAAGGGTTGCGACCCCATGTCCAGCGAAGCAGTAGCTGGTAGTCGGAGAAACAGTGCTTCCGTGATGCCCTAATCAAGCTGGGATGATGTGGTATGTGATTGATTTTTTCAAGACGGGTATGTGGCTGGTGCTCTCATGAGTCCCATGTAGAGACATTCACGCCTCACGTGGCTGCCCTCATGAGTTCTCCAAAGCTTTGCCAGCACCAAAGGTGGCCGTGCCCATTTGCCGGCACTTTGGGCTCCGCTTCAACTTCTTTTCGGAGCACCATCCACAGGCGCTGGCCGCGAGCGAAAAGCAACGTTTAGCAAGCGAAACGTCTGAATTCACTTGGTGAGTGTGTATGCGATATCAGATGAGAGCAAGATTCAAATAATTCCAGTGATTTGATTGATCCAGCGAAACTCTGGTCGTTCAGCCTGTCATGTTTGTTGACATGTGTGGGGCGTTTGCAACATTTGACATCTATTTTGTGTGATGCAGTGTGACGGCGCCAAACATGTGACTGCTGACTCGCGCACTTTCCGGTTTTACCTTGAGCCCCCAACAGGTGACCCTTGAATCTATAGGTTTGCAGCTGTAGGCGCTAGCTTAGTAAAGCCATGAGCATGTTGCCTCCACACGGTGCCTGTGGACAGTTCCAATGGTGCGCAGACAGGCCCCACATGTACGCGCAGCCAAGTAGGAACCTACTCGCTTCCCTTTCAGCAATTCAACGCGGCCGTGGCCAACCAACTCTTGTGTTCACTATAGCGAAAGCCTTAGTTAATGGCCAAGCGCAGAATGTTTGTGGCTATGAGCACAAACTTCGCAAGGAGCTCGACATGGCAGAAGCTAGTCCAAGCCGCGAGTGCGTGGACGGCATGGCCGCGCAAGCCTTCAGCAGGTTGCTGAGGAGCTCAATGACAGCATCCTGAAGTACGAACTCCGCGAGGAGAGAGAGTGCTTGGTGGCAAAGACGGTGTCAGAGATGATTCGCCTGAGCTGCTGAGTGAAGGAGTCAGATCTGCAATGCCAAATCTTGGTCCACTCTCACAACCTCCAGTATGCGAACGAAAGGCTGCGGCTCGCGAGGGCCTGCAAGTGTGCCCAAAGCCGATTTTCAGCCAAGTCCTAGCGCACCTGTGCCACCCCTTTCCGTTCTCATCAACCTCACACCCGTGATGGTGGTTCGGTTGGCAACCCTGGCCATGAGGCATTGCCAAGATGTTGATGAAGCACATCAACGGCCACACCGACGATGAGCCAAAGGCCCTCGAGAGCAAACGCGCAGGTTCAAGGAGATGCCAGCGCGCACAAAGCACAGGGTATGGAAAACATCCGTGCGCGAGAACATGAGAGCGGCATCAAACAAGCTCACCTGTTCCGTGAGCTGGAAGATGCTGGTAAGTTCATTACGTTAGATACCGTGCTAGTAGCGCTCACGTGCTCCGCAAAAAGGCGACCTCGCCCAGCGCATTCTCAGCGCCAAGAAAAAAATACGCGAAGGAAGGCAAGGCCATGCGTGTTAGACAGGTGCTGTTCTTGTTCGACCAGTATTTCCCTAACACGTGGGGAAGCAGGGAACCTGTACTTGCTGGAGATGTCCGCCATGTCAGCCGCAGCGGTGAGACCATCAGTGATTTGAGGCGGGTCCAGAGCAAAAGAGTCAGAGAATAGCGTCAGGTTGCAACACGATGTGGACACCTATGATCGAAGCCGTATGACTTTCTCTAACTTTGTGTGTGCCAGCTGATAGGGCGAGAGTGAGCCGTGAGAGGTCCATTGCAATAAACCCTAAGGCCGGCGCACCAAGAAGGCAGAGGACTTGCAAAGATGACTTGCGCGGAGGCCTTGCGTAGAGGACCTGCTCGAAGTGGAAAGAGGGCCCAACATGCGCGCGCGGGGCAAAGTCGAGGCTTCATTGGCCATCAGACACAAGGCAAGTGTAGGGGCGAGGCGCTCAGGGCAGAACCAGACAGAGCCTTTGAAGCACCTTGTCTCACAATCCCTCATCCATTGCGCGGGAAAGCCAATGTCGTTTGAAGAGAGTTGCGCAACTTCATTGTCAACAAGAACCCCTTCGCAACATCACCGCCTGGCGTGAACTTTTGCTACATCAAGGATGATGTAAGCAGCATCATGGCTGGGCTCCAGCAGCTCGCCAACAACAACTATGCAGCCGCCAAAACAAGTTGAGCGAGTTGCCAAGCAGCAGTCTGAGCGAAAGATTGCCCACAACGAGGCAGCGAATCACAGCTGGCAAGCGCCCAAACTTGCCGCATCATCACGCGTCCTGCGAGGGTTGGCAGTGAGGTAGCTGGAGTTGGAGCGACTGGCAGCACCCAGCATGGCAGAGCTCAGGAGCTGGACCAACCAAGGGTGGATCGACCGAAGCGGCAGGTCAACCCGGTGGTACTTGAACTGCTAGGCATTTCCATCTTCACGGATGTGCGTCAGAATTCGTGCACTATTGGCGTTCACTATTGCCATAAGTTGACGCACATTTGGTGCCCCTGCCCCTTGTGTGTGTGTGTGTGTGTGAGTGTTGGTTGCTTTGTACACGCAAGGGGGGTGTTGATACTTTTGGGGCATTTTTATCACTTGACATCTTGTGTACGGGGCAGTGTGACGGCTCAAAGCCAATGTGCGTGCTGAATCGCGCATTTTACTATCTTATCTTGAGCCCCAATCAGACAGCCCTTAAACCTACAACGTTTGCCAACACAAGCCGCGGAGAAGTAAGGCATTGCGAGACGAAATCCTGGCCACGTGTCCAATGCCTGCCCCTCGCTAGGCGAAGAAGGCAGGCGTGACCTGCAAGGAGCCCCTGATCCTTCGGTGGGCCTGGCCACTTCAGCACGACCTGAGTGAGTTTGGTTCCCCTCCTATGTTTTTGCTCCTTCTGAACTCGTGCGTGTTGGTTCCGGCTTCGGCAAATTTGGTCAGCCGGTCGACCAACCCTGGTTACCTTGTGCGAAGCAGCGCAGGTGAGGGGCCTAAAGGTTGGAAACAACGAATGTGCTATTGATGTATTTGTTTATGCCTTTGTGGTTGGCGTGGTTTCGTGAGACAAGGAATACCGAAGATTGAATGCGGAGTGTGACGATGCATTGTGAACATTGCTCAAGATAGGTGATTCCAAGCATGTCGAAGAGTAGGTTATGTCATCGGACTAGAGTTCCTGCTTGTGAGCTCCAGATAGCGTGCCAAGTGGCTAGCGTGACACAGAGTTTGGTTCAAGAGTTTAGCGAACAAAACAACACTTGTTAAATCGGGTGCTGCTGGCGATTGGAACAAATGTTCACAGAGCTCTTGTGAGTTACCCTAGCAGGAGGAGATGGTGGAATCAGCTCGGAAATAAATACATGCATTTTCACACATCAAAGACCGGCAAATTATGATGAACCAATTGCAAGAGGGTCGATGCAGTGAGTGTCGATATCGCATGCAGTTGGCCTTGGCCGAAAGCGATTGTTGGAGCACCAGACAGAAATCCGTTGGAAACTCGTGGGCACTGGGATTGCTCGGCATCCTTTGGACATGGACAGAAGTCGCATGAATCCACACATGTCAGACCGACCACCACACTTTGTGACACATGGAGATTGGCGACAAACGATTTGCCAGGCAGTGAGGCTTTCTCAGTAAGGGAGATGAGCCCCATGGCCAGCTTCAACGTGATGTCTGGAAAGCTGATACCACCCTCCAGATTGGGAGGTTCAATGGGATGCAGGTGTCACTGTGTCACGTCCTGGGGTGGTTGACCGTCAAATCGGATGTTTGGAGGATGCTGAGATGACCAGTGCCCATCATAAATATCAGAATACAAATAGTTGTTTAACAGCAAAATGAAGGCCAGCCCTGCATATCCAAAGCACCATCAAGTCGGCAAAGCATCGTACGAAGGGTGTCAGAGAGTGTCGGAGAGGTTCACTTCCAGTTAGAGAGTGATGACCTGGGTGTGGACATCTACAGGGCCATCACAGCACAGGGGACCTTTGGAAGAGGCTTTGGAACGTATCCGTCTGGCAGCAAAACTATGGTCAAAGATGACCCCCGGAGGAGGCATTGGTGGAAGCCCGAAAAGTCTGATACACGCAAGAGCTC